GTATGCATTTTTACGAAATATACAGGGTCTTAGAAGTTTCACTGCCTTAATTTTAACAGACGATAGAATACACTAAAATAAACAAAAAAAACTTATATGACATGGGTCCTAAACAAAATCATTTCCGAGAAAAAAAATATCAAAATCTGCAACTTTACGTACAAAAGTTCGATTAATTAAGTAATATTGACATAACTGTGTGCATAGAATGCCATAAAATACAATGTTTGTCACTTTTTTTAACTTCTTTATGCTTCATCTGAATGAAGAAATTGATTGGTATATCAACAATTGTTTGAAGAGATCGGCTTAACTTTTATATACAAAAAACTGAAAAAATCATGTATTAGATATACCTTTTTTATTTGCAACATTACTAAATTTTACAAATTTAAATAAAACATGTTAATTATCACCCAACAAAAATATATATTTTTTTCATTGAAAATTAACTATCGGCAAAAGACGAAGGTAAAAAATCGACAAAAATAGCTAAATTTGAACAGTATATCAGCCAATTTTCTATTGCAGAATCTTTTTTCATAGCTCATTTTTACAGTTAGAATCCTTATTTTATTTTCTCTTAAGCAATTGCTGTAGTGCTAAGCTCAGAAAACGTTATAAAACGTAAAAAATTAGGGATTTTCTGCATTGTTTGCAGACTTATTTATGTTTACATTTAGAATTAAAGTTTTTGTAATGTTAAAAGAGTTGGGAAAATTAGTTTTTTATAAAAAAGTACTCCTGTATTCTTTTCAATTTCGTCTAGTTGAAAAAATTAAAAATCTTGTCACCCCTTTCTCAAAAATACACCCCTAAATTTAATAGCATTTTGTAATTTTTATCACATTTAGGCGATAAAACGGTATTGTTCCTTACTAAATTACACAGTCATTGGCCTAAAACTAATGTATTGTTATTGGTTGAAATGAGTAAATAAAAATAATTTTCACTACACCCATTCTACGTACAATTTTGAATTTTCACGGTCTAAATTAATTTTATACTCATATTTTCGTCGGAATTTCGATAGATATAAGAAGAAGACTTCTAAAAATAACCGTTTCTGGACCAGGTTTATATATTTTACTCTTTGGCCAGAGAGGTTGACTGGCTTTGAAGCGTGGTCTATTTTTGTAAATACTTAATCAGAAAACAAAATACTTTCAGTGTTTGTATGCAGTATTGACTTAAAATAACTTGTAAATTGTTGTCATAATTTTTTTATTACTTGCGTGCAAATTTACTACATTTATTAGAGAAATGTATAATCATAACAGTATAGGATTTTATGAACACTAACCTTGTTTTCCACGGCAACACTGACAAATTGAGTAACAGACTTGACACCACCAGTATTTTCCTCTATATCTTTTGAAGGAGAAGAAATTTTGAAAAACTTTTTTAATAAAAGTTGTTAAAAAAATGAACTTCTTTACAAGATGTGTTATGAAATTTTGGTACTAAAATTTGGGGTTACTATTAACTGTACGTAAAATTTAAGAAAACTGTCAGAACAGCATGTCTCAAAAACTAGAAGTATCCATTGTTGTTTTACATTCAATTTTCGTAACTGTAGATACACTGTTTATGTACCTTTAATTCAAAACAAAATTTATGCGCTACGTGGAGTAAAAATACAAAAAGATACATCTTCATCTTCTTCATCTTCATCATCTAGTGGTTGGTTCTTTAAAAGTCCCATAGCACTGCGGCCTAATTAGGCCTATTGTGCGTCCCACTACTAGTCCTATTCAGCAAGTAGATTTGTCCTTTTTACAAAGTCCAAAAGCTTCCTTGCTGACACTTCTCTCAGCTCCTTGGGTTCCAAATAGGGTCTCCCAAGGAGCGCCATTCTGCTACGTGCAAATCCCGGGCACTCGCCCAGGATATGCAGAGAAGTTTCATCCGCCGATTCACATCCTCGGCAGACCGGACTGTCTACAAGCTTTAGTCTATGTAGATGTTTCTTAAAGTGACAGTGTCCCGTTATGAGTCCTGTCACTCTCCTGAGCCGGATTCTATTCAAGCTCAGTAACTCAATCGCTCTTCCATTCGAAGGATACTCCATAAGCTCCTTGGAATGGCTATGTCCTGGCCTTGAAGTCCAGTATTTCCTATGTTCTGTCTCTGTCCATTTGCCCATAGCCCGCCTGACCACACTGGGAGATGTGCCACAGAAGGGCTCCGGGCCAATGAACACTGTTTCGGATCCCTTCCTCGCAAGTTCATCCGCTTTCTCATTTCCACAAATGCCTTTGTGCCCTGGCACCCAACACAGTCTGACTGTATTGTTGGTGGCCAGTTCAGTTAGCATTTGTAAACAGTCCCACACCAGTTTTGAACTTACCTTGTGTGCGGCTAAAGCTTTAATTGCAGCTTGACTATCAGAGAATATATATATGAGTTTACGTCTATAACCTCTACGTACATTCTCTGCCAGACACGCCATTATTGCGAAGATTTCTGCTTGGAATACAGTAGGGAACTCCCCCAGACTGTAGCTTGCACTCCATCTGGGTCTGAGTCCATATATTCCTGCACCCGTCCCTCTGGTCATTTTGGAGCCATCTGTAAACCATACTAGGCTCCACCTTTCCAGGGTATTAAACCTTTCCTCCCACTCGCTTTGATCCTCTATTCGAGTCTCAAATGGCTTGTGGAAGTGAAACTTTGGAACCATCTTGTCGGATACCATCCCAAGAATTGGTTCCGACATAGATGTATCTTTGATCCTGGAGTGGGAACCACCCCTCCAGTCATTATTATTCCTGAGTCGATATGCTGCTAGCCGCGCTTCTCTCTCCACCACTATATGCAGCGGTGGCAGATTTAGCATGACTTCTAGTGCAGCTGTCGGGGTCGATGCCATCGCCCCCGTTATACCTAAACAGGCCAATCTCTGAATTCTATTCAGTTTTTCCTTCGCTGTGGTCTGTTGTGTTTTCTGCCACCATACCACAGCGCCGTAAAGAATCCTGGGTCTTACTATCGACGTATACAACCAGTGTGACATCTTTGGTTTCAGTCCCCAGGTTTTCCCAATAAGGCGGCGGCATACACACAATGTCTGCTTCGCCTTACTCACCACTTTTTCCAAGTGCGCATTCCAGGTAAGCTTATTATCCAGTATCACTCCTAGATATTTTACTTCCCTGGAAAATGTAATGCCCCTCTCCCCTATTATAGGTTCAGAGAGTCCAGTTAAATTTCTTCTCCTAGTGAAGGGTACTACGACCGTTTTGTCAGGGTTTACTGACACAAAAAGATACATAAAAAATTAACAGTCAAAAGAAATACAAAATAAAAATCGATTAATAAAGTTTCACCCAGTACTTTTAATCAAATATCAAGTGATTGCCAAGGTAATCTGACAGAAATAGACATAGTATCTATTTGATATTTCTCTCCTTGGTCAAATTGTATAAAATAACTATAATTAATAAATTAATTGCGATAAGTTCAGGATATGTAATGCAAAACATAGTTCATATTACCTCTGGACTAAAATGCTTTTTTTGAATTATAAGGGGAGGCTTTCTTATAAAGTTTTTATCTAGGACGCTTCGTTAAAAAGATACAGGGTTTTAAACTTCAAGAAATAATTTGAATTTTTTTAAATAAATTAAAGACTAGTAAGTGAAATTATTTGAAATTGGGCACATGTATTTATGTAAACATTCTCCAAAATCTGAGGGCTTTTCCTAAAATTTACATGCTCCAGCAACGTATCGGTGGGCATATTTTTCTGAATAAAATAGTACGCCACTACTTTACGGTATCAACCATGATATTTTCGAATTCGTCTTTCAATTTTCTACAAATTACTACCCTTTTATGTTTTTCGAAAAAAACCTGATTTTCGAGTAAAACTTAAGAAACGAATTGAGAACACTTCGATATTCGAATATAATGTTTTTTTTTAATTACATAGTGGACTGCGATAAGAACTTAGACATTCTGAGCACATAGAATAAATAATGCTTTTTATCAGATTCAAGCAACAATAAATTTCGAACAAATTACATTTACGTTACTAAAAGATATCGGTCCTGTGTTCGTGGAAATGGAGGTATCTTTGAACATTTATTCAAATAAAATCATTAAAATGATGACTAATGTTATTAATTTCTTTATTCGAATAAATAACCGAATGATTAGAGCTTGTCATGTTATTTAAGTAGAAGTGTTTTCCGTTGGATTTTTAAGTTTTACTCGAAAATCAGGCTTTTTTCGAAAAACATAAGAGTAGTAATTTGTAAAAAATTGAAAGGCGAATCCGAATATCATGATTGTTACCGCAAAGCAGTGGCGTAGTATTTTATTTAAAAAATATGCCACCGATGTATGTAAATTTTAGAAAAAGCCCTCAGATTTTGGACAATGTTTACATAAATATACATGTGGCCAATTTCAAACTATTTCACTAACTAGTTTTTAAATTATTTAAAAAAATTAAAAATATTTTTTGAAGTTTAACACCCTGTATCTTTTTAACGAAGCGTCCTAGACAAAAATTTTATAGGAAAGACCCCCTTTAAAATTCACCAAAGAATAAGGGGTTTCATTTCTGGTCATCATTTGTGAATCACCCTGTACATATACCTGGGATATAATTTTGCCTGTGCAGTAATTATAACCATACTTGTCATTGTCATATTTCTCACAATTAGGTGAAAAAGAATAACGTTCCTATTCTTTAATTTGTAGTAAACAGGACCTTTAATTTTTTATTAAATATTTCTATACAGGCAAACTTTTTAATATTATTTATCATTGAAATACCATTTAACTTATTTTATTTATGCTAATATGCACCACATAAATATTAAACGCTGCACGATTCAAACTTCACATAACCTCAAAACCCGTTTATAAAACTTAACGGCGCATCATATGTTTCTTTTTGTCAACGGCTAGCCCGCGCAAACAAATCAAATTCAGGTTAGAACACCAACTTATTCCATTCTGAGAAGCAAATTTTCGTCACACAGTCGTACCTCATAAAAATTTTCATCCCAACTCATCTCGCCGATGATCTGTTTATTCACACCTGATTGGCCCGCCGGAATTTACAATTTCACAACATACGAAACGGTCTACCCGACACTTGGGAGATACTAACAAAATCTGAAATCTCCAGGTGGTATTGGAACGGTTCCAAGTTATTTTAAGCTGTCGACCGAGGAATAAAATTGTCACTTGGCTCATCAAAAAAACCTCTTTATTGACTTCACCCTTTCCCAGTATTAACCTCACTGATCTTTAGATGGTTGGACTAATAAATAGTTGTTTTATAGCTTTTAAAAATAGCTCTAGCGGAATGTAACGGCTCGACAGCTGGTACATTAGTACCTACTCTTTTTTGGTTGGGAGATTTGCCACGACTGAAAATTTGAAGAGGAATCAACAAATCATGGCTTCTAGCATGCTTGACATTCTATGAGGAAATATTTCTTTGTTGAATGTACATTTATTTACGAATTATTTGAGAAAAAGTGCTGCCTAATTTGTATCTAATAATCAGTACCTACAATTATTTAGTCCGCGAGAATCATTCACATTATTATGCACTATTTACGCAACAAAACAAAGATTCGTTTAATTAGCCTTAGAATAGAAGAGTTAGTGCTGGTAGCACCTCGCACAAAAGCTTCACTATACAGGGTGAGTCGGTAGAATTGCACCAAACTCCAGGAATGGATCCTACCCGTCGAAATTGTATATATTGTATTATTGCGAAATTACAAATAAAAAAAAATTAAATCAGAGTTCGAAGATCAAAAGTAGGATATTTGTTAATATCATTTTATGTTACAATAGTTTAACATTTGATTACACGTTTGTACGAACGTCAAAGAAACTTAACGTAAAAATTATTCTAATTATACAGGGTGTTAAAAAATAGTGTAAAATATTTCAGGAGGTAATAGTATGAACCAAAATAAGCAGAAAAATCTTAATAAACATGGGTCCGCAAAGTAACGGTTGCGGAGATTCGTTTTTCAAACATTTCATTTTATTAGGGATAACCCGACAAAGGAAGCTTTTAACAAACAAAAAACAAAGTTCCAGAAGAAGTTCAAAGTGCCCTCCGTCCATTTCCAAGCAGGCACGACATCTTCGTCTCAACGATATTCAAACTCTTTCGAAAACACCCTCCTTGGTTTGGATTTCTTGACACTTTTGATTAATCCGTAGCTGCAGTTCTTCCAGGCTATTTACAGGAGTACCATACACTAATGTCTTCAAATATCCCCAAACAAAGAAATCTAGAGGGTTCAGATCAGGCGATCTTGGAGGCCATAAAACAGGTCCGGCCCTTCCTACCCACCTATGTGGAAAAGTTTGGTGTAAATGATCTCTAACGGCCATGGAAAAATGAGCTGGAACACCATCATGCTGGAACCACATTTGTTGCCTCTGATTCAAAGGAATGTTCTCCAAAAACTCATACAGTGTGTTCTGCAGAAAGTTGAGGTAAGCAGCGCCTGTTAATCGGTTTGGTAAAACAACAGGACCTAGAAACCTGTCACCTATAATACCCATCCAAATGTTTAATGAAAAACGTGCCTGATGTCGAGATTCTATTAGAGCATGAGGATTTTCGTCGGCCCAAATATGCGTATTGTGAAAATTAAACATTCCATTTCTTGTGAACCCGGCCTCATCGGTAAAAAGAATGTTTGCAAGAAAACGAGGGTCTTCAGCATCATGACGTAGAAACCAACGGCGAAAAAACAAACGTGCTTGATGATCATTTATTGGATTTAAGGCCTGTACTCGTTGCACATGGTATGGATAAAGCAGTTGCTCGTGTAGGATTCTCCAAACAAGAGGACCACTAATTCCTACCTCGGCTAATATTCTCCGCACACTCGTACCTGGATTCTGCTCTACCAGTGCTAGAATTTCTTCTTCTGCTCTAGGAGTGGATACCGACCTTGGTCTTCCGGATAAATGGCACTGTTTGCTCAAGGAACCGGTATCACGCAATCTTTGGTGAATTCTTCCAAACATGCGTTGTGAAGGAATCTGGCGATTTGGATAAGCGTCAACATAAAGACGTCGCGCTTCGGTGGCGTTCCCATTAGCACGACCATACATGAAATGCATGTCTGTTAATTCTGCGTTAGAGTAACCAGCCATAACGAAAGAAAACTTGTGCACTGAGAACAACTGTCAAATACGTACTGTTTATTTCACTAAACATCAACCAACTATTATAAGAAAATACACAACGTTTTTGAAAAATAAAAAAAGGAGCTAAAAAACTAAAACATTCCATATCTCCGCAACCGTTACTTTGAGGACCCATGTTTATTGAGACTTTTCTGCTTATTTTGGTTCATACTATTACCTCCTTAAATATTTTACACTCTTTTTTTAACACCCTTTATATGTCGAAGTCGTAGGGCTAACTTGGGCGTTAGGTAATATCATTTAAAATAAAATGTTACAAATAAAGTACTCGATGTGTTTTATGACATTGACCAAAAGCCCGATAACGAATCCACGGTCAACAGCAAGGCAGTGTACTTACCTCTTCAATGCTCTTAATGAACCAATCAAATTCGTTATCTCCCAGGGATTCCCTTATAAAGTAATTATAAGGTAAATGCTATCTATCCTTTGACCGCGGCTACGTTGAGTGACCCGTAAGTCCCTCCAAACCCAAGCTTGCCATCATTAAACTCGGGAATAACGTAACCGGCTTAATTCATAAATAACTGTTCTAAGTTTTATGGTCTAGATACAATTTATAAAAGGGCATTCCCTGAGTAAAGAATTCTGGAATTTCCAAAGTCTGCAGGACTCGGCCTGTAGGAAAGACATCTCCGACTTATAAAATCTTTAGAAGATACGATACCTAAACACACTAAAAAATTTTGGCAGTATGTTTCTTCTCAGAAAGGTCGTGGTTCTTTTCCTAATTCCAACATGGATTTTTTCCACATAGATCTATTGAATCTAATTTAGTAATATACTCACAATATATTACAAGTGATATGGATAGCCAGACTCAGGTGGATGCCGTGTACACCGATTTTAGCAAAGCATTCGATAAAATTATCATAATATACTTATATGTAAATTGTCTGAAATTGGTGTACATGGTAACCTACTGAGATGGCTTAGCACTTATGTTTTCAACAGGTAGCAATTGGTAACTAATGGTGGTCACACATCTCCCTACTACGTTGCAATGTCAGGTGTTCCTCAGAGATCGCATTTGGGACCATTACTATTTTTAATCTATATCAACGATATCGGTCACTGTTTCAAATTTTGTAAATTTTTATTCTACGCAGACGATTTGAAAATTTACTCCCAAATAAATAATTCCGATAATTGTATTGCCTACCAGGAAGATTTAAACTCTTTCTTTGAATACTGTAAATTGAACAAGCTTCAATTAAAGTTAAGTAAATGTTTCTTTATTTGTTTTACCCGTAACCAAAATATATACTATAATAATTATAACTTTAATAAGAATATTTTAAATTACGCCGTGAATGGTGGTTTATGCACGATGGTGCGCCTCCGCATTTTAGTATGAATGTTCAGGAATTTTTAAACCAACAGTTTCCAAATCGATGGTTCCAAGTCGATAGTTTCATAGAAATAGTTCTGTTTGTTAAATTTTGCGTTGAACGAAATGAATAAATAATTTAATAAAGTGACAAAATTTTATTTCTTGTTTACAAAAAATCATCCAAATCTGAATACTGACCTATTTAATCACGGCCTACTATTAAAAGTTCCAAAAAATTCCTATTCCCTTGGCACCAATTTTATTTACTGCACGCATGTCTAAGTTAAGTCCTGGATGCTAAGACCCACTTTTGCAATCTAGGTTTAAACTAGAACAGTTTAATTTGCAGATTTGACGTAACACTCCATTGTTTGTCTGTCAAATCTAACAGTTAAACTTCAGTTCGGGTTTAAACCTAGGTTATAAAAGTTGGCTTTAAAGCAGTGGTAGCATAGCCTACCCGCAATTATAAAACCACATATTTTTGTTCTATTATCTCAAAAACGGACGATTTCTCGAAAAATTGACAAGAAAAGTGTAAAATTGTATTTGCTATTAAACTAGCACACCTTAATTGTAAATTAAGTTAGGGTTGAGAAAATTCATAAAATTTTAAGGGTGACCACCCCTAAACCACCCCTTATCGATTTTTTTGACATTTTCTGAGGCCAATATCTCCGCAACTGTAGGTACGAGAAAAAAAATTCATATGAAAAATCAACTTGTTTTGGTGTCCTCTAAACACATCCGTTGAGTTGTGATTCACCCAGTATAAGATAAAGGTAAAAAATTATAATAATTTCTATATAATGTGCAGAAAATTTCTATTATATGTTCATTTTGCCAACAACATATTTTAATTATTGTTCTCAAACAATTTTATTATATTGATAGTAAATTTCGTTTTGTTCCGTCTCAAAAGGTCTCCAAAATGCCATGTCGTGATAATATTAGTGAACAAAATATCCCTCTTATTTCTGATTGATAGAAGGTGCCTATAATAAATTAAAATTACCTGAATCACACCAATTTCCGCATTGCTGCACTGCACTGCTAGGCAATTTATCAACCACTTGTCAACTGCTGTGATTTATTGCCCAGTAGCCCAATGTAACTGTCTTTGTTTTCCTTTGCCCGCGCTCGCATTCTTCAACTGATCGTATACATGTCTACCACCTCCACGTTTAGTTCCACCAGACCTGTATATGGGTATGACTAAATAAATATGGGAACAAGTTTTTCAAATATTTCAATGCCGAGTTGTTGCGTCAGTGACCGAACCTGGTACATACTGTCAATCTGTTGGTTCTTCAATTGATATCGGAAATACTATTATGTTTAGTTAGCTTACTTTGGTCTCAGGAAATTGTGGTAGCTCCATGTACCCGGAATATCGGGGCACCCTGTATACACAAGAAAGTTACGTATCCACTTTGAGTAAAATCGCTTTTATTTTTGCAATAAAGAAAGCGTTTCTATAAATTGTAACAATTTGTGTCTTAAAGCTGAAGCCTTTAGCGGTATGTTTTTATATGAACTGCTTA